ATTTTTTCGATTTTTTTTACCAAGTGCAACCTTTGCAAACAGCGGAAAAAAGGTGTATTCGAAAGACAACACCCTGGCGTATTTATCTTTCTACTATGGTGCACGATCATCAAAATCACAACCCTACTTAAGCAATCCTTCGTAATCGAAATAGCACTTTGGAAGTTGGATTCACATGTCATGAGGTCAGTTACGAACTGAAGGGTGCTGTGGGTGGAGTGTACGAAGTATGAACTGCGAAACATGGTTCCATGTATGCTGTTTCCTTTCTACTAATCCGATTACGGCGTCATCAACAACGGACTCACTGTTGGACCAGCCACACCCGCTTCAGGTACATGTAACCATGCGTGGACACGTTGGTTCGTCAAACAAAAACGACCCGCCTGGCAGCAGCGTTGCGAATCTATCGCAGCACGACTGGAGAACCGGCAAATCCACTCAGACTTTTCCGGTACATTTCGACATTGTATGGGCACATTCAATCCCACCTGCATGCGCACTAGTTGGTGGACGAGTTACCCCACATCCCATTTGATCTCCCCTATCCTGCCTACATGATTGCAGTCTAGGCAACAGCTATACAATGCGGAATATTGTCATGACATTTTAGGAAATCCTCAAGTACTGCTTCAATCTTAATGATGTCCTTGGGCGTAATCGGTAAGCTGAGAACGTGGCTTCAAAACGATCCGCTATCGATCTGCCGTCCTACCTCTTATCGAAAACCAACCCCAATTAAGAAAGTAGCGAATGACGGTAAAGGAGGCACGCTACTGACGGCTGGGAGAGGGAAGGTTATTATGTTTAACGAGGTTCTGTTGATGGAGCGCTTTTTCCCCGCTGGACTTTACGTTAATCTGTTTAGATTCTTCAATAAAGCAGTCGCTGCCCCAAACTGATCATTTCTTCAGTCCGATAGACAAAGCTATAATATCAACTGCCGGCTCCACTCAGGGTGAGGGATACAAACGTCAGGAATGATGAAGGCAGAGAATACATAAAGAGCCAAGGGGTGCGGCAAAAGGTAAACTAAAACGAAAGTAAGAAGGTTTAAATACCTGCAGACACTCAATCAAGTGACCGATGGTCATTCGACTGGGGATAGCGTGGGGATTGATAATGATATCAGGTGTGATGCCTTCGCAAGTGAACGGCATGTCCTCCTGTCGATAAAGAATGCCACAAGTTCCTTTCTGACCGTGACGACTGGCAAATTTATCGCCGACTTGGGGTGTTTTTGTGGTTCGGACGCGGACTTTGCAGAATTTATTTCCCTCATTGTTCCACGTGACCATGACCTGATCAACGATTCCGTATTCACTGCGGCGCATGAACACACTAGCATCCCGCTTCGTGTACCGACGCTGGCCGACATCGATCTGAAAAGATATAAATAGTGTTTACTGAAATCGCGCAAGTACCCATAAAAGCAAAGTAAAATGGATGATAAGAGCGAACAAGCGAGTTCCAGGAAGAAGTTCGGAAGATACGATCGCTGGAACAAGAAGTTTATTGGCCTGAAATTTCGAGTTGCCACTCGAACAGATCATCTGAGACAGTCGCAGATAAGAGTGTTTTGAGGCAAACGGAGTGAGGTAAAAACGGGCGTATTTGACGTGAGCATCCGCTAAATCAGAGCTAAATAAATGGCATAATTCGAAAGGCGACGACAGGACTGAATTAATGGTAAGTCTAACGTGGTATGGTCATCTCAGTAGCCACCGTTAATTCCTAAACTTACTCGACTTAGGTCATATTAACCCAGTTATCGACAACACAAATAATATGTTAGTATCCTTATAGGCCGCTCTATTCGCAAGAAAAATACGAAACCTAAATATATGCAATTATTTACCCAGGTAATACAAATGGGTAGGCCTGGTCTTCCCTAGATGAGCTTCGTAATTGGCCTCTACCGCCATTTCGGATGAGGTATACTTATTGAAATTAGTTAGTGTCCCATTGTCGAACATCGTTATGTAAAGACGACTACAGTCCTTTAAACCTTCGTGCAACCAGCGACATGAGGAAGGAAAATAGGCAGGCGAAAACCAAAAGATAACTTCGAACGCAAAGGAACGGATAACAAAACCCACTAATTCGTGCCTTCATGACAGCTCTCGAACACGAAGGACGACGTTATGTAAATAATGGACTGCTTGCCACAGTTAATGTGAGAGTAATGTAAATTTCAGACTAGGTGTGCAATGGGACTTTTGTCAAGGAGTCAGAAAAAAAAGAAAATAAGTTCAGAAAATAAATCTGACCTCTTTAATGCGATAAGCAAAGACCACTACTGACAGATCACGGGTGAAAAGCAAGTCCAAACTTCTTTTCGCTTACTTCCCAGAACTCGTCTTTTAGTGCGTATCGATCAGTGCATTTATATCAAATCCATATGCATGGGCAATCAATAAAACTACAAATGACTGATAAAAATATAATCTATCAACGTGAAGAAAATAGAAAAACGCACCTCGTCTTCATTTTCTGGTAATGTGATCGTTTTTCCTATAAGGACGTCGTCCCCGGAGACACGCGTGCCAGGCGCGATAAGCCCATCGTCGTCTAACTTATCGTAAATGGCGTGACGCATTCCTTGACAGGTTTGAGGGTTGGGCTTTTCAAAAATTTCCTCCTGATCCATTCCATGGCGGGCTTCCTGATCTTTGTAAGTTCGGTAGAATTCTGAGCGGAAGAAACCGCGTTGAATAGCACTCTCGTTCATTACCAAAGAGTCCTCTTGGTTGTAGCCAGTGTAAGTCGCAATCGCGACGATGGCATTGATGCCGGCCGGCAGTTCACGGAAACGCAGATATTCCATCGAACGGGTGGTCACGAGTGGTTTCTGAGGGTAGTATAGGACATTGGCGAGAGTGTCCATGCGCGTGTGGAAATTGCTGATATACACACCCATGGCCTGCTTTCCCATAGCACTTTGGTAGGTGTTACGCGGAGACTGGTTATGATCACAGAAAGGGATGATACTAGCACATATGCCCAGAATCATGCTGGGATGAATTTCGCAATGCGTATGTGTCTTGCAGTAATTTACAGCAGCTTGCATTTCTGCCGGTCCCATTGCAATCATCACGGTTTCCTCCTCGAGGGTATCAATGTATTCAACGACACCGCTTAGAACCAGATCTTGCCAGCTTTTGGAGTTAGCAAAAAGACGTGCGGGTTATATAAATTGAGCGAAAAATTAAGAACAAAATTAGGAAATGTAAGTCTTGTGGTAATAAAATAAAGAGCGTCCATACGCTGCATGGTCCATAGACTGTAATATGGAGTGTTAGGTTGGAATCGGGCATAAAGAACACTAGGGTTTAGTCGCTCGAAAACGAATGTAGAAAAATTACGAATCCACTTTAGGTATGTGTAGCCTAAAACTAAAAGCATTTTGGTCCGCGAAACGGATGGCCGAAGCCTTATTTGGAATACAGCGCGATAGTATACCCGAAGTATTCAAGGTGCTGATGATGTGGTCAGGTCTAGAGTTTAAGCCCTCATGCATAGTTTATGGATGACCCTAAGAGGTTTAAAGGTTTTTTAGGAAGGAAGAAAATATTACTTCGATACAGAGATACAGCAAAGAATCAAGTCAGTAAATGGGCTTATTCGCATGCCTACAAAGGTCGCTCACCAATTTACGGAAGGACGTGCAGCTTTTGCAAGAGACACCTGCAGACAGCTGCTACTTTGCTGCAATAAAAACTAAGCTCGCATTGTTTCTCGGGACTATGCTAGAGCATTCAATTGACAACAGCTACATCCATGACCAGGATACCTTTCAAATGGAGAGCGGCACTATCCACAACTTCTTACAGTAGAAATTATGACAAAGGTGAAGTTGCACTTAGCTTGAACCCCAATTGTTATTTTCAACATACGCACATCAAGCTGGCCATAATGAAAGTCATTTGCGCCTACATAAATGACCTTCAATACCGAGCAAACTGCATAAACCTTACGGAGGTAAACAGGTTTCATGAAAAAAATACGTCTATCGAGATAAGAAACTTTGAAAATAAATAAAGTGCGACAAAAAGCACAAAGGCATTCAGCTTACCTGTATCGATTGTATGCCTTTTCTTTGAGTAACTCGATGTGGCTCCGTTTTAACATCAACTTTCCTTTTTCGACAATCACAAGCGGCCGGCAGATACGACCAGCATCTGTGTAAATACGGATCTCCTGATCACGATAATCACGAACCATGCTGACTTCGCTGACAATCACATCGACTTGACGACGCAATTTTCGAAGTGTTACCATCAAGTGATCGGGTGTACTGTGGATTCCTACCCAACAACCGTTCACAAAGATTTTGCATGTTCTGAAATTCGATGTTTAAAAAAGTTAAAAAAGACCTACTTTCCGATAGCTGAGGGTGCGATTTCTTCCAGGTTCTCCATACTCCATTCCTCGAGAAACTCGAGGATAGGAGAAGGCTGACTGCCGACAGAGATATAGGCCATGAGAGCCAAGTTCTTGACTAAGCCAACGGCGGCACCTTCTGGAGTCTCGGCAGGGCATATCATACCCCATAAAGTGTTGTGAAGCTGACGGGGCCTGGCCAGTTTTCCATCCCTCCCAATGGGAGAATTAAGTCGACGCAAATGTGACAGAGTAGAAGCGAATGTGAGTCTATTCAAGACCTAACAAGAATGCAAACAAAAAATAACTCTAACCTGTGAGACTCCAGGTCGAGCCTGATTAGCCTTTTTCTGATCTCCCCAATTTCCGGTCGCAAGGGAATATTTGAGACCATCTGTTATTATTTGGCTGCGTATAGCAAGCTCCACGTTAAAATCTTTGCCTTCGTTAATATATTTTTGCGCGTAGAGACGAATTTCTTTGGCAAGATTTCGGAATAGACCACGGAAGAGGAATGCAAGAAGAGGACCGGCCAAATCAAGACGCTTGTTTCCGTAGTGATCTCTGTCATCTACATCTCGCCTCTTTAGAGCAGTTAGAAGTAACCGATGGACCATATAGCCCAAGAAGAAGGCCTTCCTATGGTCGCAATAATCTGAAATGCCGACATGAGGTAGTGTCTCCTTCTGCAGTATTTCCTTGGCATATTTTATACGCTTCTCTTTTGTGACGCCAGGTCTAGCACCACGGGCTCCAATGAAGTTAAGAGCCACTTTCTGCTCTTGAATAACGAAGGCCTCGTCAAGAGAAGGTTTAATCATTTCACGCATTTCAGTATCTTCAAAGTCGTAAATAATATGCTCCAAAATATCGCGGTCGGCAACAAATCCCAGAGCACGAAATACTATCAGGACTGGAATCTCTTGTTTGATGTAAGGCAAGATAGCAATTATTCTTTGACCAATAGTTGCACGCTTGCTACTATCCTTGCCACCT